ATTATTTCAACTAAAAGTGGAGCCACTGAAGTATTTCTAAATGTCACCAGGATGTACCAGCATTGTTTTCTATTAAAATAGATGCACCACATCCATCTCATGCTGTATCTTTGCATGAGATGGACAAACCGACCACAAAGCCCCCGCCCCAGAGGCAGAGAGGGTATGCTAGCCATCACATTGTCATCATCAGACCACACAGAGGAGGAAACCATCACTGCCCTTGAACTTCGACTGTCTGACCATCTTCTGATCATCAATCCTTCCAGAACCAGAAATATTAATCTGATCTGAATAAAAACACCAGGCAACAATGCAGGATCAAACATTCTGCAAAAGGAGAGGACAAGTGATTAGTTGCACAGCTAAACGTTTTAAAAGATGTCGCTAAGTTTCATGTTTCCTTCAATAACAGGAAATGGAACGACCACAAAGCCGATATGTCAAAGAATAACCTTTACAGCTGAAAAAAGCCTGAACTGACAGAAAACTCAACCACTTCTACTTTCATCAAAAAGGTTTCCCACAAACCTTCATTTTCAAATTTCTGAAGTTTTTATTATTAAAAATAACTCAAATGCAGAAGAGAAAAGTTGCTTTTATTTCATTAAACCAAAATCAAACACACTGAGGCCACAAAGTAAAACTGACATATAAGGTAGCTTGGAGCCATTTTTGTAACTTATGAAAATACATTCAATTATCATATAACTGAATTAATATCCTCTGTAATAATTGTTTTCTTTTTTAAAAGGTTAATTCCTATATTTGATATTTAAATGTTTTTTTTTTTTCATCAGTGAGACTCAGTAGTCAGTCAGCTCTGACGTGTGGAGATCCTCAGGGTTGTGTTGTCGGGTCTCTGCTGGTTCTGAATCAGAAACAGATTTTTCCATTTGCATTTAATAGGAGAATTATAGCAGGTTTGAAAGTGATATTCCTGAATAATGGAAGTGATGACATCATCGGCAATCTTGTCAACGTGCAGAAGGTTACCGAACTAAAGACAGGAAATAGGTGTTTAAAAACAGTTTGGAGTGGTTGATCGGTCGGCGGGATGGTTGTAGTTTACCTACCTGTGGTTCGACGACATAAGGACACTATGAGGAGAGTGCAGATGCAGTACGGACAGAAGATCAGCAGGTGGATGAAAAGATGAAGACCAACATGAAAGCCGATTAATGTGGGCGGAGCTTTTGTTGGAGGTTTCCCTGCAGAAAGAGTAATGATGTCAGGTTACGTATGAAACCAACAAAGAAGAAATCAGAGGAGCTCCTGACCTTCAACAGAGATCCAGCTGGATGGAGACTCTCCATGACCACTGATGTTACA